TTGATCTTGCTTCTCAATTTTCCCTGTAATCCACCCTTACCAAATTTCTCAGACACATGTCACATGGCTTTATCTGATTGGAAACGACCACTGAGTAATTCAAAAACTAATCCAGAACACTTGGAACAACTAGCTGCCTACCCCAAGATTGGTTCTTGACTTCCTGCCAAGTGCCCATCAGGAGTTTTAAAAGCTTTTTCGTTTTTTTGGGGAGGACCCATTCAGAATGAATTTTTCTGACCCAGCTTATGCGCAAAAACTATACGGGCTAACGAGCCCCATGGAGACTCTCGCTGAATGCAATCAGGTGAATAGACTAACACGCCTCCTGTTGCTTCCAACGTACTGGTATAATGATCATCACCAACTTTTCTGTATTCTACTCAACCCCCTGTGGGTGTGTTCAGACAGGTTCTCATTTAAACAACAATTTAGGTCTAAAATACCTCACCAAAGGCACTCATCAGACATCACATATGAATAAGCTTCAGAAGGTTACCTTTGTGACAGGCCACTTCTGTCGGTCTATCTGATAAGTAATGCAGTTTTGGACCTAAAACTGGCTTAAATTATAAGTTGTCTGAACAGATCTTACGAGAGCAACCACACCAATTCTGACAACCACAGCCAGGACTGAGGAGATAGACAATACACTTCCCTGTTCAACAGTAATAAGACCCTGCGTTGGAGACTGGAACAACGTCATTTAAGTGTGTTGTGTCAGGCGGGGTAAAAAGGTTTTCTGTTGAAATCAAGAGCTTTAATTAATAACTTCCGACAACCTAAGACATAAACAATGACATCATGTGCGGCTGACTGTATACACAGTTGAAAGATCAGCAGGAAAGTTTACACCAAGTCTGACTTAGCTTTACATGGGGATTTGACACTCTCCCAAATGCTCCATCATTTTTATTAATCTATTGGTTTTTTCTTCAACAGGGAGTACTACATCTAACATTCTTTAACAAGTCTTCACTCATGACTCATCATTATGCATAAAGAAAACGATCATAATGAACAATTTACCACTTGATATTTACATGTAAATGGCAGACATAAACGAACAAAAACTAGTAAAGCTGTCTCCTCCTCTACCACGCTTGTTATAGATCAAATATATATGACTATGAATCCCATGACTAAGCAAAGGATCATTTTCAATTACCCAAAACCAAAAGAAAACCTCCAGGCATCTTTGTGGCAACATTTATAACATCTGCAATGGTGCATATCAGAAGACAAGTTATGCCAGAGAGTAATTCTTGCAGAAACTATGCACTGATGGTAGAGTTGAGGAATGTTCATCTATCATATGGTTGTCTATATCATTTTCAAGGAAATTACCTGGCTATATTCTAGGGTCAAGGTTAGGGCAAAAACAAGGAATACGATGTATTAGACATCATTTGCAACAATCTAGTACCACTGTCATCTAAATTTATAATATTATTAACATGTATTCTACCATTTTTATTGGAATGTGAAATCTCTGATGGCTTCCAAGGCCTCAGCTTAAAATTAATGAAATTGTAAATATTAGTTTTGTCTTGTTTTTTATTTTTTTTTTCAATTTTTTTCTGGAATACAGCATTCTATATTTCAAGCAGTCGTAATGAATGTCTTGTACCTGAAACTGGCAAAGGGCTACATGTACAAGTACTTTTTCACCACAAACTTATCAACAGATAAATTCATTTTGGCTCCAAACTTTCCTTAGTCTTTGCATACTCCTCATGTGGTCCTATTCCCCCTGGGAGCTGTGTGATGTCAGTAATAACTGATAAAGATCAGCACAAAGAGTATAAAATACATCCCGCCCTGCTGCTGTCAAATTAGCTGTCAACCCATCCCACATTACATCATCATTAAGTTGTGATTTAATGGGTGCAGTGCTTCGCCTTTCACAGGCAATTTTAATTTTGTGATAATCATTCACTTTTTATTGAGTCACAACATGTGAGGTGACTCAGAAAAGTAACAATCTTTGTACTCTGTTCTGACATGGTGGTTTATGCTTTTATATTTTCATCAAGGATGAACTGGAACCCACTAAAGAAGAGAACCCAGCTAGATTAACCTTGGAGCGCACTCAGAACAAGTTGATACGGGGACTAACTGATCCGCAGATTAAATATGGCCGATCTACTTAAAAGCGATGCCGCTAATCCCCTGATGATCGCCCCTGCATCCACACGTGTTGTTGCTGCAGGGGCCTAGCAATTAAAACTTTATTTACAAAGAATGCAACGGGGAGGACAAACTACAAATGCATTCTCTATAACTTCTACAATTTTGGAAATAACCATCATTTCTTCAAATTCCTCACCAAGTGAATAAATTAAGAAAAAGTGATTAAAGATCATCCATGCAAATCATTTGAGTGAATGCAGGGCGAGTGAAGTTAGCAATGGAAATAGTTGGAACATCCTCAGGAATAATCAGAACAAAAATACACCCTATATGAATGGTATTCAGTAGAAATGTGATCATAAAATCAACACCCTAAATATAAATCTGCCCTCAGCTAACCAAGAGCATGGAAATCCCTGTAACCCAGCAAATGCTTATAAGCAATACAAACTCAAGGTGTAGCTAGTGTCAGAAAAGAGGTTAACATCAACACCGTGGCATGTGTGCCTGCTGTGTATTTAGTCTGGGCGTGATATTTCTAGTGGAATTTCAAGTCTGATCCCCACCATCACCCCGCGTATCAACATGATGTCCTGCATATTTAGCCTGGGACTCAGGGTACCCGTGATTCATGCTACATCTAAGGATGAGACAGCCATTCAATGAATGAAAAAGTCGGAAAATATGGCAAGGGGTCCAGGGGGTCACCTGGGCAAACGGTATTTTTAGCTCCCAAAAAGTCGGAAATAGGCTGATAATCGGAATAATCTGATCCCTGTATAGTATATCTGGCAATTTGGTGGTTTTACTTTTGGTACCAGATCACAAGGAAATGTTATTTTCTGTTTCTATTTCTTCAGTGCCTAACAAAAATTATTTGCTTATCATGAGAGAGAAACAACTCATTTAAATCCTTAATTCTCCTCTCACTCTCTCTCACTCTCTCTACAATGCATTTCACTTTGTCAAAAAAAACATATCAGTATAAATATCAAGAGCATTATCCAAGAACTGGTCTGCACCCCGGTTTACTGCCATTAAAGTCAGGTTATGGATTCCACAGCAGGTTAATATTACATCAACACCAGGAATATTCTAAGTATGTCTGGGTGGAGCAGAATCAGATATTTACCACTGCCTGTTCTCTATTGATGATGATAGTTCACAGCGATGCCATAGAGATCGAAAAAGAGAAAAGATCGTGGCTCAGCAAGAAATTAAGGTTGCTGTAGATTATGCTATCTTGGTGAGAGATTTCATGGTTTTCAGTTTCTTTATGGAGTCTATACACCAAAGTGCGATTTCTGTTTTTACCTCATCTTGAAGAGAGCTTACATGGTGCTGGTTGGATGTTTTGGACTTCAGTTGGCACCTTTCAGCACATTTCTAGGATGGAACTTCTTGTCAAATTTGTGAAGTTTTTGATTAAGTTTTAAACATTTAAGAAAAAGAACTTTAAATTTTTGATTAAATATAAAATATCTTAGTAGAAGTCCACAACTTGAAGCATTTGCCAGCAAGTCAATGCTAACTAGAGCTTTATGCTCTGTTAAGTGTTAAAACAGATCCATATGCCTACTACGCCCTTTTTTCTTATTTTCTAAAATCCCTTTTTAGAATCAATCAAAGAGACCTTTCAAATTTGGAGGAGTAGCTAAAAACACCCAGTGCCGTACATTGAAGTGACATTTCTTGAAATCATCTTTGTCTGTCTAAGGCTGTAATATGGCGCTGTTATGATGTATTCTCCCATCATTTAAAATCATGTTGAAAGATAATACAACTTGTAAGGCCAATTCAGCGGAAGCAGGATATCTTTAAGTATCAATTAGAGGAAGTGAAAACTCCCTCATAAGGCCATGAGAAAAAACTGCTGCTTTTTTTTTCTCTTTTTCTTTCATTTTTTTTCCATTGGACTTTGCTCACTGTTGATTTGATACAGACAACTAATACATTCAGTCCTGTTAACTAAAAGCAGTCCTTTTCATATCGCTGGGACGCTGGAGTCACCGCCCTGTTATACCCAGCAGTATCGTGTAAATGTTTCCACACATACACACACACACACATCCCTTACTACATCCGCTGAACTAAGAACCTAGTCTAGATACCATCTCACAGTAAAGGTGGGCAAGGTAGGATTAGTACCTTGAAAAGCTTATATCACATATGGATAGATTTTGATGTTACGGTTCTAATAACACAGTATTTGTTTATGTTCATTGGGGGAAATGTAACCTAGCAGGCTAAACAGGTAAAACCATATTGCACTCCCTACTAGTCTGTGTATATAAATGTCTGATGAAAAGGAAATGGGTAATGGTGAAATGGTTACATGAACTGGTAGCTTTATAGACAATGTCAAATGGAATTAGGTTTAAAAGGATTTAAAGATTAAGATCTATATTCTTTGCCAAAATGGTCATCATCTCGAATGCATGTGATGGAGAAAATTTTTCATATACATTTTGCATGCAAATACATCCAACTTTTCCATATATTACTTATTGGGCTATAATAACAATACACAGAAATAAAAATCAGCATCTGATAAAATAACCTGAAAATTAATAATCTGAGTGTTCTATTACAGGAATTAATGCCTGCCTGAGTTTGCTTTTAGATTCAGCAAAAATAAACGTTGAGCAATCCATTCCATGGGTTTACATGGGTTAATTAGGTATAGTTACCAAAATCTAACAGGCAAACTCTGGCAAAGTTGCACTGGAAATGTTAAAGTCGGATGCTTTGGCTTACCAGACTATAGACCCATCTCAGACTGTCCACAAGTGTACTAGTATAGTACATGGAGTAGACAGAGAAAACTCTCTTTACCCTGAAACTCAGAAATCACAATGTGAACCTACCTCCTCTAACAACCAGCAATCTGGCACCGACTTCCCTCTCTATTGCAGGGTGCACAATTCCAACTTCACCAATTTAGGTAAGTCCACCTCTGAGCCTTAACTTGTCCACTGGTTAACAGGCTTTAAGAAACTACTCCCATCCAAGGTTAGTTAATGTGAGCCAGTTCCCAGTAATAATTCACTCTCCCAAATAGCCAACACAACTGGCCTGCGCAGAATTTTCCTCTCTGCCTCTGCCTCCTGACCTTTGCTTTCTCCTACTGGCGCTCCTCTAGGCACTTCTCTTGCTCAAACTAACCAAGTAAATGCCCCAGGTTCCTTGAGAGTTTTTCAGCCTGTTGATAAAATACAAAGAAACAGTGATTAGATTAGGTGAACTTATCCACACATTAAGTGAAAAGTTTGCAGAGCTGTTGATGTTTCAGTCTCGGTGCATTGTTTAAGGTTGTAATAATCAACAGAACTACACACAACTATCTTGTGTACACTTAAACCAAGCTTGTTAAATAACCTATAATAAAACACAGTGTAACTGAGGGACCTGTCTATCTCTCTCTCCTTTCTCTCTCTCTCTTCTTGTTAGCAAGCCACATGTAAAACTACTACAGAGTTAGTGAGTGTCAGGTTGCACTGACTAATCCAAGCCTATCTCCTTTCCTATTGGCCGAGGTCAAACCCAACTGGAACTGCTTGTAAACCAATAGCATACTGTTTTCAGTGTGGAGAAATCTTGAAGCAATTATTAACCAGATCAGTTTGCTGAATGCATGCTTTAGGAGTGAGAGGAGAGGGGGGTGGGGGAAGAGTGGGGGGGGGGGGGGGGGCATGTGACAGGTCATATGCGATTCCAAATAAATTGTTATAAATGCCATTTTTGTTCCTAAATGATTCAAGAGAACCAATTTTCATGGGAAGTATCCATCAATTAAATCTCACTATGATTGAGGTGATGCTAGCTTAGAGCACATTTCTCTCCGTCTCTCTTTTGCTCTCTCTCTCTCTCTCTCTCTCTCTCTCTCTCTCTCTCTCATATCTACATGTAATTATGGCTCCATGAAAAATATTATAATCATGAAAATGTCATTTTACTCATTTGCAAGTGTTTTATGTAAAAAAATGTTGCATGAAACACATTTAGCTTGTAGGTAAAATGTGTAAGCATGTTATAACAGGCACAGCAGAGCTTTTGTGCTCATTATTTTCACACAGAAAAAAAGTAAAAGCCAGATCAACAGTTACTTCTTTTTCCCCCAACTTAATCATGAACAGCTGCTCGGCTGCTCGGGATTTTATTTATCTTGTCTCGCTGAAGCTCTTAGTATGCTGCTGAAATAGGAAAACAGCATCTGTGCTGGGATTTTAAGCCAGGATCCACTGGGAGAGTGTGATAGTTTTCTTTGTAAACATTACCTGCTCTAAAAGAATATGAAAGAGGCCGTTTTTTATTTTGTACTTGCTAGACAAGACTGTTTAGCCAGTGGTTGCTATTTCCATACAGAAGGCAGCCAGACTCTGGTATCTTTTTTTCTTACATTGCTGATGCAATTCCAAGACATATATTCTGAGTATTCTCCCAATTTTTTACCTTTGTGTTGAGAGGAAATGTGGCCTTGAATTGGGAAAGAACATAGAAAAAAACACATAAAGTAAATAGTTAATTTCACATGTTGACAACTAAAGGTTTATTCCAAATGAAACTTGTTCTACAAAGATCAACCCAACTCTCCAAAGATCCCACTGAATGCAAGATTTCACATTAACTTAATGGCATTAGAAGTTGTAACAGAAAACAGAGATACATGTACAGTATGCCCAAGACAGTTCTACTTTCATTTATAGTACATCAAAGTAAAAACAGAAAAATGAGGAATTATTTTATTTTTTAAAAGGAAAAGCGAAAATCAAGTTTGATTTTACATTTCATTTTACACTTTTTTTTCTGACAAATTTGGAAATCACTTTGACCCCTCCCCCTCACCCAAATATAATAAAAATATCGCAAAGTGGCAGGGGGTATCTAACAGCGGCACACTGATAGACAGTTTCACGGGGTTGAAGAGTGGGTGCTTAAAAGTTCTTTAAACTTGAACATTGAGCTTTGTGCTTATTATCTGTTCCGTACAAGTACACAGGCTCAGAAGAACGAGGTGTTTGGGATTTCATATACTTCCATTCAGAACAGTGCTACTAAAGTTCTTCGGCAGATAGGTCTACATAATAGGTGTACAGTAATTCGCCTTAGTTTCTAGCTGCACATATTTAATGAGCTTTAAACTCTGACAATATTTTAGGTTATAATTATACAGACCTTTTCGCTGTGCGGACAACATATCGGTTCGCATTTTCTCAAATCCTCCCACTTGTTCATTTCACTCCGCAGCTAAATTTGCCGCAATGGCGGACTGTTGATTACATTGCGATTGGTTAATCTGTCTAGTCTCAACTAACACAATCAATTTCGCCGTTGCATTAAGCTTTGAGAGACCACTTGTGTCAACATTTGAAACAGCCTCTTTTAACATTTTTTTTACAAGAAAACGTGCTGTGAGAGCCGCTTTCTGAAAATCAATTCACTCTTTAAGTTTCTAGGTGTGCTGATTCAGATATGGAATGTTTTAATGATTGAAATTTCTTTAACAATTAAAATTGTGAAAATATAATTATAATATATATTATGAAACAGTTAAAAAAAACTACAATTTTGTATTCGCATCTAATCACATGCTGTTAGTGTTTTGCAAGATGTATAACAAAATAACAAGACAAACGCCATATAAAAGATCATTAAATATATTTACAATTTTACTATATACACAATAAGGCATTGGTTTGCATTGAAGAATTTGCCGTTGTTTATTATTATTTCACTTTTATTCATTATTTTTCTTTGTACATATACGTAAGCTATATACAACCGCCAGCACAGCTGAACGGGATAACTAAACAATTGGAACAATTGATTAGCTTGTAACAAAGCGCTGATGAAGTCCACACCACATACAATAGCTTGCTTTAGACTTGGCTCCTGTTCACTCACTTCGGACATAAGTTAGGGCCTATTGCACTTTCCCCAACACAGAGATATTGCACGAGCTGTTGTGTCATCATCATCATCATCATCCGGGTTATGATCAGACAGACCAATGCACGTAAATGGGCGTAGAGGTGGCTGCACCATGGCAGTCTTTAAGCTGGGCGTGGTCTTGGACAACTGACAGCTCATAGGCCTACGTGTTGGTCTGAGTTCTTGTTTTAATTGCTGGTAAAACACTGTAAATATAAACAATCACGATAATGTATTTGAAAATATTGTTCGAATAAATAATAAAATTGAATGTGTAATTGATGAGGATGCAAAAAATCCATTGTTTATAAATATGGCAAAACTGTGCTAGCAAAAGCAGTTCACTTTTTCATTTATCATAAAACTATAATCGCTATTTCAATATCCACTCGGTTCATGCACTGTATTTTAAAGCCTTACCTGCTTAAGGCATCTTGGCAGTGCTTTCAGTATTCTAGCCTTGACTCTTTTCAAAAATGATTTCTTGCCTTTTCTGATGTTGACGCTAGGATTGTTTTCTTCACCAGCGTATTCATCTAAAATAACAAAAAATGTAATGATAACTCCCCGTTTGTTTTCATAAACTTTTTACGTTACGTAAATTAGATGCATTATTTCTAAAAATCAATTTCTGGACTAACTATGACTTAAGGGCTAAAAAATAAGAGCACCAACTGGATAAAATGAAATAGAAAAAAGACTGTGACTGTGGTGAGGTGCTGATGTGCTCTATCTACCTGGCCATATAAGGGGGTCCTCCTCAATTGTGGGTAGTTTGTTGAGGAAAAGGACCTTGGTGGCGACCTCAGGGCCGGGCAGATCCTCCAAGCGCCACCCAACGGGCCTGCCAATCATAGGGACCCAAAACATCCCGGCACACGCAGTTCCAGATGTCACGTCAATCACGCGGGCGAAGGCGTGGTTTGGACGGTCAAGAGGACACACCTTTTCAGCCTCAACACCGTGATTATACCCTAGATCAAAAATAATAGGGTGTGAATGGATATGTACATGGTGTTTTATTAAAATGCTGTTAGACTATTTGATCAATATATGCGTCAAGTAATGAAAAAATTGTAAGGAATTTATACGTCTTATACAGTTCAATCTTTAGGAGTCTTTAAAATGTCTTTGACAAAATTTCGAAGAAAAAGCACTGTCATTGTGAACAAGTCTAGTAAAGAATACGTGTAACGTGTGGGCCCACAAATTATCACTCACCTCCCCTCTCTACTTCTAACATAAATTTTCCGCATTCATCAAACATTATTAGAACTCTGTTATGCAATTTATCTCGATATGAAATCTAGAAAGAAAGCAATAAACGTACTATATACGTACTGAGTCGTCGAAATATTTGCAGAAGAATTGCGTATCTAGGATAAACGATAAAGACGTAGTTGGCATGTTTACATTTAGAGGGATTCAGTAGTTTTTCTTTACAAGTTTTTATTTTATTATTTTTTTTTCGTCTCAAGATAAACATGATAGGTACACGCATTCAACACGTTTAAATTCGGTACACTCGAATCAAATAACTCCATTTTGTCTTGATCTCCATTTTTTCGAATATAAAAATCTCAATCGATGTGTGCTACTCACCAATTCGCAAATTGCCGCAATTCTGAGACTATCGGGTTGCTACGCACCCGTTCAATTCACTGATTGGTTAAAGATACAATACTGCCTACGTCACAGTACGCTGACGTCACAAAGTGCTAGTCGACGTCGTTTTCCGTTCTTCTCACTGATTGGTCAACATCACAATTCCGTCGTCATGTCATGGACCTTTTTTACAACAAAAGGGGGGGGGGCTTAAAATTTTTAAGAAAATAAAACAATAAGGAGGTTATTGTTTATTTTTCTTTTTTCATATTTTGCAACTTAAATCATCCCTCTGCTGTTTTTATCTAATACACTGTAAAAACAGTGTTTAGCATTTAAATACATACAACACACGTTAGGCACCTATACGCATTTAGAAATCTGTGTAAATGCTAAACGCGTATAGCTTTTCAAACGTTTCACAGAAGAAAAAAAGCTAGACACGTTGGCATTGTTACACGTTTAGCTATGTGTTTAGCTTCACCGGCATATGATTCTATAACAAGTCTATCACAAGCTAAGCACATTAGCTAAGCACTTCCCCTTCTAAGCGCGTGAGGCTGCTAAACATATTGAGCTGCTATAGGTGTGGAATTCCTTAACGCGTGGAGCTGCTAAACAACATGTTTAGCTTTTCAAGCTCGTCACAGAAAAAAATGCTTCACAATCCCATATATACGATCCTATAACAAGTTTATTACAAGACTCAACAATTTTGCTTATCACTTCCCATGGGGCTGTTGGAGGCGAGAAGCAGCCTGCTCGAACGCGTTGTGTCCTTCCTTGCAGTAACGTGTGCTTATTTAAAATAGGCCTATTAAGTAATAATCCAAATAACAAATAACGTTTTCACGACGTTATCAGCTGGTTACATGATGGTGATGGTATAGAATAACGTCATGGTAACGTTATGGGTGTTTTTAACTCCATGTTAAATGATGCACTTTCAGTTTTATAAGCG